GTTAGGCAACTGTTGTGGGCTGCATCCTGGGGAAGGTCATAATCTAGCTTTCACTGTTACATTATTTCTCACTTACAACAAGATAAGAAGATAACAGTGTGAGGAAACTGTGCCCGAAACCATCGTTCGCCTCGAATTACGTTATACATCTCAAGTTATTTACAAACCCCAGACACGTCCGTCTCACTCTCCCCCTGAAAATAAGAACCCAGGTTGGATATAAGCGCCTATAAGACACACACAAGGATATCATTTCGATCCCAATGTACGGCCTCAAGAATTGTTCCAAGATACTTGACGTTCAGGAGATGGCCCCGGTACGTCCCCCCCCCCCCCCCCCCCCCCCCGCACACTCGACCAGGACCCGGAGCGAGTACCCGGCTCATACCGACTCACGTCACAGAAGAGCAAGAATCCTGAATAACAAAAGCCACAATTAATCAACGCGATTTAGAAACAAAAACTAAATGACCCCGAATGGACTTGTTGAGGACGAGGCTGGACCTGGAGGGTGGCCTTGAAGGTGACCTGGAGGGTGACCTGGAGGGTGACCTGGAGGGTGAGCTTAAGGGTGAGCTTGAGGGTGACCTTGAGGGTGAGCTTGAGGGTGAGCTTGAGGGTGACCTACCTTGTTGACCCTGACGCCGCAGTAGGAGGGGTCGTTCTTGTCGGTGATGAGAGGCAGGCGGAGGGTGACGTGGTTGGAGCCGTCGCCTATGGCCATGCACTCGGGCTTGCGGAAGTCCCGGGAGTGGACCGCACCTGCGGGCGAGGGCGGGAGGCCGTCAGTGTCCTGGCACTATGACTGTGACCTGGCACTATGACTATGACCTGGCACTATGACTATGACCTGGCACTATGACTATGACCTGGCACTATGGCTATGACCTGGCACTATGACTATGACCTGGCACTATGACTATGACCTGGCACTATGACTATGACCTGGCACTATGACTATGACCTGGCACTATGGCTATGACCTGGCACTATGACTATGACCTGGCACTATGACTATGACCTGGCACTATGACTATGTCCTGGCACTATGACTATGTCCTGGCACTATGACCTGGCACTATGACTATGACCTGGCACTATGACTATGACCTGGCACTATGACTATGACCTGGCACTATGACTATGACCTGGCACTATGACTATGACCTGGCACTATGACTATGTCCTGGCACTATGACCTGGCACTATGACTATGACCTGGCACTATGACATGACCTGGCACTATGACTATGACCTGGCACTATGACTATGTCCTGGCACTATGGACCTGGCACTATGACCTGGCACTATGACTATGACCTGGCACTATGACTATGACCTGGCACTATGACTATGACCTGGCACTATGACTATGTCCTGGCACTATGACCTGGCACTATGACCTGGCACTATGACTATGACCTGGCACTATGACTATGACCTGGCACTATGACTATGACCTGGCACTATGACTATGTCCCTGGCACTATGACCTGGCACTATGACCTGGCACTATGACTATGACCTGGCACTATATATCAACACCAAATGGTACACTAAACAATGGGGTACACATTGGATTAGTTTAGTTTCAGGAAAATCCTGGATAAATACTGGTCTGGAAACGGTTGTTCATCTAATGAACAATTTACTAGCTAACATAACAGACGGGGGATCGATGGCTTGTTTCAAGCGTAGGTTAGACATTATATATATATATATATATATATATATATATATATATATATATATATATATATATATATTATATAAATATGTATATATATAATATATATAATATATTATATATATAATATAATATAATATAATATATATATATATTAATATAATATATATATATATATATATATATATATATATATATATATATATAATATATATATATATATATATATATATATGCAACAATGATCACAAAAAACACTGATCCAAGTATGCAGAATAACCACATATGAAAAATATTCCAGTTTATGTAATCCACATATTCCAGTTTATGTAATCATTCTATCGACTTCACAGGGGCAAAATGTATTGTTAAAAGTAAGGATTTTGTTGAACGAAACGTGATCGAGTCTGCTCTGATCAAAACATTGTAACAACAGCCTTAATGTGAGCCCCGGTATGTACAAGTTGGATCCCTATTTAAGCCTCAATATAGCACGTCAAAACAATATAGCAATCATTTAAACACGTATGGCACTTGGAGATATTAAAAGGAGCTGCCTTGTATGGGCCAATAGGCCTTCTGCAGTTACCTTCTTTCTTATAATTCCTTTCCTCCACTTATTTTTGGTGGTCAGGTGATCTGCCCAGGCGGATATAAAGGTCTGATCAGCAAACTTATCTTCATTCTACTTTGCTCTGATGAAGGCGAATTAGCCGAAAACGCGTTAAGCATTTTCTATTTTTCATATGTGGTTATTCTGCATATATATATATATATATATATATATATATGTGTGTATATCACGAAAATAAACACGTGATTAAGAATGTGACAATGTCAGACCACGGAGGAAAAATGAAACAGGAAATTTCCTTAAGTACTTTCGTATATTAAATACATCTTCAGAAGGTCTTAATACACCTTCTGAAGATGTATTTAATATACGAAAGTACTTAAGGAAATTTCCTGTTTCATTTTTCCTCCGTGGTCTGACATTGTCATATATATAATATAATATATATATATATATATATATATATTATATATATATATATATATATATATATATATATATATATATATATATATATATATTATATATATATATATATATATATATATATATATTATATATATATATATATATATATGAGTTGCAAAAAAAGGCCTTTTTTTATTTTTAAGTTCTGATATACAAGAATGCATAAATACTGGAGTGCATAAAGTTTGGAGCCTGTCTCCTCACTGTTCAAGCCAGTCACACGACCTTTCACTATGTTCATTTCGGGTTTCGGTACGTTATTGGTATATTTTCGATCTTGTTTACAAATTTTCACTCACTTGGATCATCTGAGATTGGAACTGGGGCCCTAAGAAGTACGCGACCATTGTCCTACCAACCGCATCATGGATGCTCACAATAAGTTATCACAAGTTCCTAACTGATACCAACGGAGGCGTTACTCCTTCCTTGGAACACCACTAAGGTGTATAAATCCACAAGGGCCGTGATGAGGGTTCGAACTTATGTCCAGAATGATCCCAGACGTTCTCAGATAATAAATTTGATACATCACGCTATCGTGATTTGCGTGTCTACCACTAAGGTGTTCCAAAGGTGCTGGGAAACTCACTCCCTCATTCATGTCATATGGATGACACTTCAGGTGTCCCCCCCAGCCCTGTATGGGGGAGGGATGAACATTGATCTCAGGGGACAATGACGTCACAACGTTCAGAAAGATGACGTCACTAGCGCGTGACGTCAGTAGTTGAAGAAAGGTTAGACAACTTGCCGACTAATATTGAGGCCTTTAGCTGGCGAAAGGTTAGGTCATTAGATGGATAAAGTTGAGGTTATTACCATGAGAGAGATTCGTTAAGTGGCTGGAGGAAGGTGAAGCCATTAACTGAAGAACAGCGAGGTCATTACTTGGAGAATGGTGATATTATTGGAGAAATAGAGAGATACGTTCTAACATTCAAACCATCCGAAAAGTACACACACACACACACACACACACACACACACACACACACACACACACACACACACTGAAGGGTGAAGGGACAGGTCAGCATTCTCACAGAAACTGACGAGGAAGTGTGCGAGAAGCTGAGCGAGTGATACAACGTTTACGTAGTATAACCAGAGTGGAGACGAAGGATAGGTGACAACAGCTATGAATCGCTTAGAGGAGAGTAGATAGGTGTCTATCTAAGAGATCAGTCGGTCTTTCTTTAAATACAAAACTCTCTCCCTCTCCCCATTTCCCTTTCCGCCATCTCGAAAAGACCCATTTTCTCGCTGGCATAAGAAACGGAGAGGGGCATCAAAGGGGACGTGGTAAGAATGGTGTAGGAGGAGAGGGAGGGGAAACAGGATAAGTGCAAGCGAGGGGATAGAGGAGGGAACGAGCACAGAAGGGAGATAACAGAGTAGAAGAGAGGGAGTAGAGAAGGGAGATAACAGGATGAAGGGGGATGGGAAGAAGGGATAAAAGCCACAGTGAGTTATCTGGCGGCTGTCACAACCAGTGAACACACACGAGGTTCGGTAATGCGGCCAGCTTCAGTTTTCAGTCAAGTGTCGGTGCCTTCTTCGAGGAAGAGGAAGCTGGCTAGCTGGCTGGCTGGCTGGCTGGCTGGCTAGCTGGCTGGCTGGCTGGCTAGCTGGCTGGCTGGCTGGCTGGCTGGCTGTGTTGTGCTCAGCTATGCTATGTTCAGACGTCATTATTCCCAGATTCCCACACACGAACAAAATCCCCGCGATCCCTACATCCCTTCTCCTCCTCACTCTGCTTCTTTAACCTACCTCCAAGCCTCGACCACTCCCCCACGCACACTCACCTCTGTACTCGTGGTTCTTGACGTAGACGTTGATGATCATGTACCCGGCCTTACACGACGCCTCTATGTTGGGTGTGAAGTCTTCGTCCACCGACTGGCCCGCCACCTGTAATGGGCAGCAGGAGAATATGGATGAATTGGGGGCAGGAGAAAATTGGTAAATTGGGAGCAGGAGAAACGATTGGAAAGGGAAGTGAGAGATGTGATCAACTGGAGAACTAAGAGACAGCAAATAGGAAAAGAGGGAAACAAATGGTGAGTTTATATAATTTAAAGCTAATGATGAGGGTTAGAGATGTTGTGGAGGGCGAGGGATGGTGTTGAGGGGGGAAGGGATGGTGTGGAGGGCGAGGGATGGGGGGGGATGGTGTGGAGGGCGAGGGATGGTGGGGATGGTGGTGTGGAGGGCGAGGGATGGTTGGGGGGTGGGGATGGTGTGGAGGGCGAGGGATGGTGCTGAGGGGAAGGGATAGTGTCGAGGGGGGATAGTGTGGAGGGAAGAAATGGAGGAAGAAAGCAAAAGTCGGGATGAAGTCAGGGAAGAGGAGAAAAAGACAAAAGTCGTGGAACAAATAAGGTTAAAAGGAACTGAAGAGAGAATTAATCGCAGACATGATAAGCAACTGGGAGAGAAGAAGAGAGGAAGGAGGAACGAAATGAACGAGTACGAAAGCAGGAATAATAGAATAACAGATCCAAGAGAGAATAAGAGAGACAATAAATGAACAAGTGGTGAAAATGGGATAAATAAGAGGTGTAAAAAAAGAGAAACCACAGAACAGTGACTGAAGAGAGAAATAATCAGATAAATCAGGGAGAAATGTCAAAAATAAGAAATCGGAAAAAAATGACATAACAAAAATTCATGTACTCAGGTGAGGGACTCGAGTCTCCCCACACGAGTGATAATTTGTGTTTACACATTCAGGTATTTACCTATTATTTCCGAACGATGGTCGTGCGATGAAACTAATCCCCCCCCCCCCACCACAAAATAAATCGAACCCAGCCCAGCCTAGGCTAGGCTAGGCTAGCCTAACCTGACCTGACAAAAATAGAAAAAGTTGCGTAATTTTTGTGTGTAGGAAGATGTGTGGTATTACTATGACTTTATAATATTGCCGGGTATTGGGTCCCACGAGAGCCGGCACTCGTGGGTGGGAGTGCCACAGCTACCGAGGCACCGGTGCCTCCCCCTCCTCTTACAGTGCCATATACAAGGTAAACAAAACGCCAAAATTCCTTAACTTTACAAAACCCAACAAATGCTTTTAAAAGTTTGCCTTTAGTTTTTCTTTCTTTCTTTTATTTTATTTTTATTTGTCTAGGCTTTCCATTTCCCTCACTTCCGCTCTTCTCCCTTCCTTCCCCTTCCTCATTTTCTTCTCACTTATTATTTCTCCCTTTTCCTACTCTGCAGAACAGATTTAGCAGGAGAATGGAACCAACGATGATTGGCCTAGGATACCTGCTTGATGGGATTCTGAGAGTTCTTCTACTTCCCAAGCCCAACCTAAGGCCAGACTTGACTTGTGAGAGCTTGGTCCATCAGGCTGTTGCTTGGAGCGGCCCGCAGGGCGCACATACCCACCTCAGCCCGGTTGATTCGGCACTTCATTTAGAAAATAATCTAATTTTCTCTTGAAAATGTTCACGGCTGCTCCGGCAATATTTCCTGATTTTATTTACTCAGATCCTTATCGTGATCCCTTCCAAGTGCTATATAGTCATAATGGCATGGCGCTTTCCCCTGATTTTATTTACTCCGTCAATATTTCTTGTACTCGCTGGGAGGATGTTGAGCAACCGAGGACCTCTGATGTTTATGCAGTGTTCTCTGATTGTGCCTATGACACCCCTGCTCTTCACTGGTTCTATTCTGCATTTTCTTTCATTTCGTTCACTCCAGTATGTTGTTATTTTACTGTGTAGATTTGGAACCTGGCCCTCCAGTATTTTCCACGTGTATATTATTTGATCTCTCACTCTCTCGTCTGCTTTCTAGTGAGTACATTTGGAGAGCTTTGGGACGATTCCAATAATTATGGTGCTTTATCGCGTCTATGTATGCCGTATATATTCTCTGTATTCCCTCTACTTCAGCAATCTCTCCTGCTCTGAACGGGTGAGTACTGAACAGTACTCAAGTCGGGACAGCACAAGTGATTTGAATAGTACAACCATGGTGATGGGATACATGGATTTGAAAGTTCACGTAATCCATCCTATCATTTTTCTGGCTGACGCAATATTTGCTTGGTTATGCTCCCTAAACGTTAGGTCATCAGACATCATTATTCCCAAATCATTAACATGTTGCCTTCCTACTATGGGCAGATTTGATTGTGTTTTGTACCCTGTATCATGTTTAAGGTCCTCATTTTTATCATACCTGAGTACTTGGAATTTATCACTGTTAAACATCATGTTATTTTCTGCTGCCCAATCGAAACTTTATTAATATCTGCTTGTAGTTTTTCAATGCCTTCAGCAGATGTAATTTTCATACTGATTTTTGTCTCGTCTGCAAAGGTTGATACGAAGCTGTGACGTATATTTGTCTATATCTGATATGAGAATAAAAAAAAGCAGTGGTGCAAGGACTGTACCCTGAGGTACAGAGCTTTTAATTGCACGTTTTATTTGATTGACTGTTACACTCGTGTTCTGTTCGACAGGAAATTGAGTATCCACCGTCGTACTTTACCAGTTATTTCCATTAACCTCATTTTGTGTGCTATCACTCCATGGTCACATTTGTCGAATGCCTTTGCAAAGCCTGTGTGTACAACATCTGCATTTTGCTTTTTTTCTAAAGCTTTTTGTGATTTTGTCATAGTGGTTGAGTAACTGTGACAGACAGGATCTTCCCGCTCAAAATCCATGTTGTCCTGGGGTGTGTAGCTCCCAGGACAACATGGATGGTGCACTAGGAGCGCCACTATAACGACTAGGCCTAGGTATGCCAGTAAGGAGACTAGGCCTAGGTATGCCAGTAACGAGACTAGGCCTTGGAGTAGTATTAACTCATTTAGAAAAAAGTGTCAACATGAAAGGTCTACGACTCTACAGCCAGCAACTTCCAACAACCAATCAGCAGCCAGTAACCATCAACTACCAACCACCAGCCAGGAACCATCACCAACTACCAACAACCAGCCAGCAATCAACAACAACCACCCAACAGAATAAATTATATACAAATACAAATGTTCATTACTCCCCTTCTCCCCAGCCTGACCTTCTGCCTCCCTCACCACCCCTCCCACACTCTTCCGTGTCACCTGTCCCAATGACTCCCACAATCCTCTCCCACCTTCCCCCTTCCCCCCGGAGGCCAGCTGGGCCTCTGAGCAGGTCATCTAAATGATCCACCATCATCAATTCAGGGATCTACCGTCCTGCCCTATATTAACTTTGGGGGTGCCAGGAGAGGCATTCTTTTCCAGTCTCGCCCCTCCCTCTCCCTCTGACCACCTTCACATTACTCCCTCTCCTCTCCTCTCCCACCCTCTCTACTGCTCTTCTTGCACCTTCCATTTTCACCCTCTTACCCTCCACGTCTTTCATCTACTTTACTTTCTATGTCTTCCTCTCTTCAAGCTCTCCTCTCCTATTAATTCACTTTTTTCTCTTCTGCTTCTTTCCTTCTAACACTCTTTCAATATATCTTTATACAAGAGCATGTCTGTTAGGCAGAGGCTGCAGGCCAGATGCTCGGGGCTAGCCTCACTCAACTTTATAAGATGAATCATGGAGAGTACGGGAGTGTCATAGACTGGTCGGAGTTGGCCCCAGTGTCACGCTTGAAGAAATATTAGAGGGGGAAGAGGAGGGTGCGGAGAAATGTCGAGGAGAAGAAGCCAGGTCTCCAACCAGGCCGCCTGGTTGGCGGTCTCATCGAGCATGGTGTTAGACGCCGCCTGACATAAGAATCACAGCCTGGTTGATCAGATAGCCTTCGGAGGTGCCTAAAAAGTTCTCTGGAACACCGTGAGAGGTCAGGTAGTCTGGCTCACCATGTGTACTCACCTAGATGTGCTTGCAAGGGTCGAGCTAGGCTCCGAGCCCGGGAAATGAGTGTTGAAAATTCTTTGAATACATCAGCCATAGTAACTATAGGCGGTCTAGTGCGTCTCTTGGAGATGGGTTCCTTGCGAGACTGCGTCTCGTCTTGTCGGGACAAGATAAGATGATGTAAGAATGACACTTGAGGGGTCATACTGACCCCTCAAGTGAGTGTATGAACACCCAGCGGGTTTTCTTCCTATTGGTGGGTGTTATACATGCTGCTATGGCGGTGACTTCACTCAAACGGCTCTTCCAAAACAAACTGAGCCATGGAGGAATACAACTCCCCAACACTCACACACGCGCGTGCGTGCGTGCGTACACACATACGCACACGCACGCGCACGCGCGCACACACACACACAGAGACACACACACACACACACACACACACACACACACACACACACACACACACACACACACACACACACACACACACACACACACACACACACACACACACACACACACACACACACACACACACACACACACACACACACACACACCAGAAGCTTATAAGCTTGATAAAATGTAAGCCGTTTTCCTGAGTTATGAAATTGTTTTGAAACTCTGGTAAAGAGAGAGCGAGAGAGAGAGAGAGAGAGAGAGAGAGAGAGAGAGAGAGAAAGAGAAAGAGAGAGCGAGAGAGGGAGAGAGAGAGAGGGGGGGCAGTTTTTTTGGGCCTGTTCAGGTGGTGGGTGCCTATCACCGCGGGTCCCGGGCCCTCTTGCACTCTACTCTTAACACCATGGCGCCTCAACCATTCATACCTTTCCTGTCCAAGGTATTCAGTGTCGAAGGACGATCTCGCTTGTTTTTGCGGGGTTCGATCCCCGATGGTGCTAGTGATTGGTCACGGTTTCCTCCCTCCGTCACCACACGCGAGCCCCTTGCCCTCGAATCGCTTGCGAGTGCTATATAGCTATTCAGACTCAGCACTTTCTCCTGATTATTACCTCCCCTCCCCACCCCAACTGTACACACCCACATGGTCCCCTCTTTCAGGGGGACATGCCGGGGGGGAGGGGA